CTAGAAATCTTTTTCTAAACCTAAATTAGAGAGTATGCATCTAGCTTTCTCTGTCAAAGTCTTGTTCATGCGCTATGCCATCCCATTTTGTCGAGGAGTGTGTCTAACTATGTGATGCTAAACAATCCTAGAGTTTTTATAAAACTCATTAAAATTTTCACCACGAATTCCAAGCCATTATTTGTTCAAATAATTTTAACCTTTTTTCTTATTTGATTCTCAACTAGAACTTTTCATTTTTTTGAAGATTTCAAAAACATCACTTTTATGATTGAAAAAATGAAACCAAGCCTTCCAAGAGTAATAATCAATAAACATTAGAAAATAAAGTGCATCACTTTTGGATGAAACCCGAGCTGATCCTTACAAATCTGAATGAATGTAATCAAGTATACCTTTTGTAGAATGAGTGTTAATAGAAAAATGCACTCTAGTTTGCTTTCCTAAGGCACAATGCACACGTAAATCTTGTGATGTCCTTTGATCACTACAAAGCAAACCACGTTTACTCAAATTAGTCATACCTCTCTCACTCATGTGGTCCGGATGCATATGTCATACTTGAGTCCTTTCGTTTTTATAGTAGAAAGTAATCACTCGTACAGAGCTCGGTTATTATACCGCCTTATAACACATAGAGATGATTAATCCGAGTTGCTTTTATCACAACTAAAGAATCCTAAAAAAACCTTAAGAATTCCACTTTCACCGAATAACCATAACCTCTTGAATCCAAATAGCTTAAAGAAATTAAATTCTTATTTAAATCGCTATATGTCTTACTTTCATCAAAGTCTTTACAATCGAATCATGAACATGATATAAATTATACCAATACCAGCTCATCTCACAAGTTGAATTGTTGTCCATCGAATCGCAGCCACCACTTACCGGTTCATAAGTGGTAAATCACTCCTTATTTGGACATTTATGATAAGAAACACCTATATCCAAAATCCATTTTTGATCGAATGACTATCTATAAAACATACAACAATAATAATTTCAGCGACACTAACATCGGTGGCCTTTGTCACATTAACATACTCAAAACTTTGACCCCGTAATTTCTCTTTGTTCTTCATAAGCAAGACAATCTAATTTATAATGCCCTTTCTTATGATAGTAATAGTATTCAATATTGTTCTTGTTAGCCGAAAGTGATCTAGACTTAGAATGGAATTTAGATCTTTCTTTATAACCATCTCTATCCTTCTATCTTCCCTTTACTAGTAAACCATTAGCTTGACTATCAATGGCTTTACCATTCAATTTGTGTCTCAACTTATTAGAATTCAAAGAGACCTTAATATCCTTTAAAGTTATGGATTCTCTACCATACAACATTGAATTAACAAAATTCTCATTCGAAGCACGTAATGAACACAATACAATAAGAGCTTGATCTTTCTCATCAAGTTTAATATCAAGATTTTTTATATCTATAACAATCTCATTGAATTCATCAAGGTGTTCTTGAATAGACTTACCTTCTCGCATCTTTAGTGTATAAAGACGTTGCTTCAAATACAATCTTGTTGTAAGATATTTCTTCATGTAGAGACTTTCTAACTTCTTCCGCAATCCCATCATCGTCTCTTCATCCGCAACTTCTCACGTACCTTGTTTGATAATAATAATTGTAAAACACTATAAGCCTTCTCATCAATCTCTTCGGTTCGATAGAAATCATTTCATTTGAGTATATACCTTTAATTGCCTTGATAAAACTTTCACGTCGTAACAAAGCTTTCATCTTTCTCCTTTATAGGTCAAAATTATTTTGACCATCAAAAGACGTAACATCAAATTTCGTAGTTACCATTACGAATATAAAACCCAAAGATACTCAACCTACTCTCTAATACCAGTTTGTTATGGCAAACAAGTGGAAATAAGACAAGTAATGATAGATAATAATCAAAAGATAAAATTAAGCAAATTATCCACGTAGGATTTATGTGGTTCGGCAAATTGCTTACTCCATGGGCGAAAGAAAAGTTTTTATTAGCTTGATATTAAAAGAGTACAAGAACTTTGAAAACTCAATACAAAACTCTATCTTTCACTCTATTTTATAAAAAGAAATATAATTTTTTTTTAATAATTTATCTCTATAAAGAAAAAATCAAATAAGCTAAATATATTATTAATTCATAAAATTCAAGTCATGTATAACAGAAATTTTGGTAGCCCAAAATTAATATTCGTGCAGTAACTCAATGGAGCTTTTACTGTTTGATTTTTTGTCCCCCTTTCTAATAGACTGTTAAGACTCATGTACTTTATGCCATGTGTTTGGTTTTTTAACAACAAAAATGGCATGAGGCCGTCGCATATGGTACATTTTTTTCTTTTGCCTTGATTAATCACGTAGGCTGAGAAAAACAGCTCTAGCAATCACCTCGAGGCGACTGTTGAATTATATGACCAACTGGGAGAAAAGCAAAAGAGGACATAAGAAAACGTGCCGAAAATGTATACGATGGGCTACTGCTAGAAACACGTGAGAGATGACCATGAAATTTCTGATAAATTGGAGTCGAATTAAAAAAATATATAAATTCATTATTAAAATCTCATATAATAATTTAAAATTTTAATTTAAAATATTTTTTAATATAATATTAAAATTTTAATGACTAAACGATCAAGAGTTAAAATCTCACTAATCTTATTTTTTTTCTAATTAAAAAATTAAACATAAAATAATAATATTCTGTATAAGTTTTAAATTAAAAAAAAATTTACTAAAAAAAATATTAAAAAATAATATAAAATATTTTATGAGTCTCACCTACTAACTTAATTTTTTAAAATTGATTATGGCTTCAATTTGTGTTGTTGACCAAAGAAAATGGGGCCACGATGATGCAATATTGGTTGTTGTGTGAAATAAGTGTGATGCTAGTGTTTATGTGTTCTTTTTTTTGAAAACGTTTTTGTGCAGGATGCAAATGTTTATTAGTAGCTCAATGATTCTAGCTATTGTCTTCATTTTCCATGTCTCTTCAACGACAACTTTCGTCATTTTCGCACCATTTTCAGCTTGTTTACACTAGGTGTCTCAAGTAATTCTGGCTTAGGTACTTTTTTTCCCTTGTCTTTCTTTGTTAGTTGAAAACTAGTAGTTTAATCTTTATTAAAAACTACAAATGTTTCTTTCATGGTTAAAAACTAGTAATTAAGTGGTCTTTGGCCAATCTAATTAAAGTAGTGAATAGTGGCTCATTGACATTCGAGCTTCTATATATTGCAGAGTTAATTATAAAAATATTCTAAACATTTTATTTAAAATTTTAAATTTTTGAATTGAAATAATTATTTTACACCTTATTAAAATCAAGTGAATTAGATTTGAGTTCGAATCCAACTACTTTTATTTTTTACTTAAAATAAAATTTTTAATAAGTTTAATTTGTAAATTAAAATGATTATTTGACATATATTATCAAAACCTAAATATATATTATATATATATATATATATATATATATATGAACTTGAATTCTATTATCTTCATTTTTTTTAGTTAAATGAAAATTTTTAAGTTTTTAAGATTGAGATAACTATATAATTCTTCAACTTGATTTAAATTGATTTTCACTAAGTGATTTTAAATTAAAATCCTATAAAAAGAGTTAGAATTGAGGATGGGATAAGATTATTCTATATTTTAAACAGCTTAAGGCGCATCAAACTTTCTAGCTAAAAAATAAAAAAAGAGGTAAAAAGAATTAGAATGGCCACTCTCAGCTCTAATAATTTTTTGGTTCTCTAATCACTTTGGGGTGGATTCTGCCTAGAAACCTCGTTCACATGGTATGGAAATTAATGAATATGGATGCAATTTGAAACCCAATTAAAACGAATTAAGCGGCAGGTGCGTGCTGCAGTTAAAGCCAGAGATATTTTCGTGGCATTAATTTGAGAGAAGTTGTCCTAAATGTAGGTTAATTATTCAGAATAAAGAACTTTCCAAGTCAGTGATGTTTCGTTCCTTGTTGAAGATAACCTTGAAAGAAACAACCCCGTCCAAGTTGATGAGCGGACAATCAATTTGGACTTAGCCTCCTTTCACATTCAAGTTGCTTCTAACATAATAATGCAATGTTGTTAGCTTTACCAATTCAACGTCTTAATTTGATAAACGTACTTTTATGCATCTTAACTTCTTCTTTTTTCTTTTTTTCTTTTTAAGATTGATTAGCGATGAAAATTATACAAAAAGATATAACTCAATGCTAGTATATTTATAGTTTTTTTTATGCGAAGGAAATTAATTCGTAAATTTGAGTTTCGATAATTTTAATTTATTTAGTTAATTACGTAATGGATAAAAATTATCCTCACCCTTGATGAAAAAAAATATTAAAAAAAATATATAAATTGGACCATCATAAATTTAGTATTTTCATACGAATACGTTGAAACTCAAGGAAGAAAATTGAAACCATGCCGTGATTAACGTTAATTAATATTTGTTCTAAAGATGAAAACAAGAATTTGATTATGTAATCATGCTTATTTTCCCCACCCATCACGGGATTTTTGGAGGTTACTAGCTAGCTAGCTAGCTAGCTAGCAGTACATTTTCGATGGTACCTAAGTTATATATATATATATATATATAACATGTGTCTTGCTGTTGAATTTCTTCAAATTAATAAAAAGATAATTAAAACTAAACTCAAAGAAATAAAATAAAAAAATAACCGCTTGGTTATATTTGGATTGAAAGCGAAGCCAGGCGTAGTTTTCTCCTTTTGTCAAACATTAGCCTATTTCAATTTCAATTTCAAATTCAAAATTTGCCTTCTTCATTGACTATGGTATTAACAAGTACCCAAAAATCCATGCGTCCTTATCTTACACCCACCATACAGGCGCCAATAGTAGTATATATTATACACAAAAGATCATTGATCTCCTTGATTAAGGGGTTCATTTTGTTGATTGTTTGTTCAAAAAGAGAGAAATAACTAGGCCAAAATCCCAATATGGGCAACAGTTTAGGAGGGAAAAAGACTGCAAAAGTCATGAAGATAAGTGGTGAAACATTCAAGTTCAAGACACCGGTGAAGGCTGGAGAGGTAGTTAAGGACTATCCGGGGCATGTTTTGCTAGAATCAGAGGCTGTTAAGCATTATGGTACTAGGGCAAAGCCGTTGGAAGCACACCACGACTTGGTGCCAAAAAGGCTCTACTTCCTAGTAGAGTTGCCAAATACTCCAACCGAGAAAGTTCCAAGAAGGGTTCGTTCAGGGATTAACATGAGTGCTAAAGACAGGCTCGAGAGCCTAATGCTCTCAAGGAGATCAACATCTGATCTCTCGATAATGAAGCCTGCCAGCATTGCCGCTGAGGAGGCAAAAAATGGTGCAATGACGAGGGTGAAGATGAGATTACCAAAGGCAGAAGTGGAGAAGTTGATTCAAGAAAGTAAAGACGAGGCTGACGCAGCTGCTAAGATTGTGGGTCTTTGCATGGCAAACACTGCAGGTGGCAGCAATAATAGCTCTCGTGAAGTTGCACAAAACGGTCAAGAGAGTGAGTTGTTGCAGCAACAAGTTCATTGGAACAGTGGCCATGGGAGAGTCAGCAGTCAAGATATCATCCAGGCACGTGAGGTATGTTCCTCTCGACATTAATCCTAATTTTGTGGCATGTTCATAGGGTTTTTGCCTTTAATTCCTCTCGACATTAAAAAATATTTTTGGGGATTTGCATTTTTTTGGTTAATGTCATGTGGTTTGATCATTTGCAAAAGTGTACTCTTTCGACATGCGGAATTAGTATAGATATATATTAATAATAGTAATTAAGAGGAGGGCTGACCTTCCTAGGCAGGTTAACAGAGCTTTTAAGCAGTACTTGATGAAGGATCTAGTTACTTACGAATATTGACTTTTAACAGAGGTTTTAATTGAAAGTTTGTGACTTCATGATGTAGTTGGACACGATTTTATTCCTGTATTTTCAATCAAATTTGGACTTACGTATCAGACAAACAAATATATATATTTTTTTTAATTGTGTAATTACGTACTAAATTAGTCTACTATGGTATCCCTTGCATTTTGAGCTTCGTAAAAGGCTGAAAATACTTCAAAAGGACAAGTTAAAGCCTCTTTATCGCCTTGACGTTATATTTTAAAAAAAATAAAATAAAATAAAAAAAATAAAATAAAATTCCGGTTTAAAATAGAAGATTCAACTTGCACTGTTTTTTTTTTTTCCTCCCATGTAATATGTTCTTAACTCTTACAAAGAAAAACTATATCTATTATTCCCTCTCATTTTGATAAATGAATTAATTGATTCTCCTCACTTTAAAAACTAATCATCTAATCCGTTAATAATTTAATCATTTTATCAATTTTTCATTAAATTAGTTATTTTTTTTCAAATTATCTTTCTTTTCAAGTCTTATTTTTCTTTTTCACTCACTTTCTTTCTTTTTTCTCAACAAAAAAAATAGCAATTTATAAATAAATATCACTAATAACAGAAAACTGATGAAAAATTTAAATTAAAATTAAAATGAGAGGGACTAAATAATTAATTATTTTTAAAAAAATTAATTAATTTTTTTCTTTAAACAAGAGGGACTAATTTATAATTAACTTATATATATATAACATAGCTTTAAGGGGTTGGCTTGATGATTAAAAAGTTTTGTTCCATTCCTTAATTTAATTTAAATTTTGAGGGCAACTGTTAAGAAAATTTATTAAGTTTCTTTCAAGCACTAGACCAATATAAAGATGCATTTTTAAAATCGTTTTGAAAAAAAAAAAATTAATCTCGATTGACAAATACGTTGGTTTGAAAACACCTTTATCTTTCAAAAGAAAAAACTATATATATTACGTATTTTTTTCTTCTATTTAACATTTCTATATTCGATTTTATAATTTTGTGGGGCATTTTTCATGACGATAGTCTGGGTAAGAGGGTAGCCAAAAAAAGGGTCCCACCTTGTTAGCCTGAACCATTGACACCTTCCCTTTCCAATTGTTTAAAGAAAAAGCTATATTTCATAAAATATGTTTAGTCAATTTTTACACCTCGTTCACCAACTCTAATGTTAAAAAGAATTCCGTGCCGATTCAAAGCCTTTTTCCTCCTTTTCACGTGCATGGGAGGAAAGTTGGGTATTCCATCTAGTTTCTTGCACAAAGAATTATTTGTAATAGAAATTGGTAGCAGTTTTTCTTTTGGCTTTTTATTTCTTCAACAAATTTGTTTAATGTATACCCACGACGAACAGGCCACCTGACTAATTGCTTTTCTTGTATGTTTGAGAGACAAATTAATGTAGAACAGCTAAAACGACAGGCTTGAGCTAATGCAATGATATTATGGAATAATTAAGCATTTTAAATTCCAAAAGCTAGCTAGCCTGTTGTTAATGGCGTACGTTATGCATTACTTGTCCTAGCTAGGGCGATTTAATATTGTATTACATTCTCTCCAAACAAGAAATTTCATTGTCTTAATTATCTAACGCAACTGATCATTCTTTAATTAATTTATCCTTTTGGAACTTGTGAAATGTATACGTGCAGGCACGTTTGTTGATCAATATATATATATATATAGAGAGAGAGTTGAACACATCATATATAAGAAAAAATTAATGTCTGAATTAATATGTGAACCATGGATTAATCAGTATGTATGTTCTTACCTTCAATAAAATAAATAAATAAATAAAATGCATGTTCTTCATTTATATACGGATGATTTTATTTTATTTTTTTTGCAGAAGCGAGTGAGTTTCCTGCCAATCAGTGAAGGAGAGATGCAAATAGCTGTGGCTTCTTATTAGCAAATGATCCAAATTAAAATATATAGTGTGGTCATGAAGCAAAATTAAGCAGTTTTATTAAATAAATTGTTGAAATGATGATCAAAAGATAACCTAGCTGGATAATGGCATTATTCCCTCTACTTCAGCCTTCAGATTCTCATGGACCACACATATATCACGTTTTTAAGTCTTGTTTTTATACATAAACCCCGATCGAGGAGCTTTGAGGTTTCGAGGATAATGAAAGAGCTTAGAGTACTGATCAGAGATGTAAACCTTGGCTGTAAATTATTTTAAGAAACATTCTGCAATGGACCTAGGATATATATTTATATATTGCTAGAGTTAAGTTTTTGTCTTAATTATAATTACAAACTTTATATATAGTATAATTTTTGCAAATGCTGTCTTTTATTAGCAATAAAAATCTTTCAGCTAGGTAAATATATAACTATACACAAATTAAATGAATAAAACATATATCATGAGAAAAAATTTTCTTTTTGTGGTTTTAATTAGGATATATGTATATATTTTCAGATCAAGGTCTGCATATTAATTTTAAATTATCAATTTTTCTAATCAGATCAATTCATGATGAGACCAAAAAAATTCATGATTTTTTTATATTTTTTACAGATTGATTTAAAGTTTACGTCATAAGTATTGACTAAGGAGAAAGTACGCTCCTAACAGTCAAGCCAATTCTTTCAAATTTGAGAACAACTTCATGTGACAACATAAATTAATTAAATTGATTAGAATTACTTTTTCTTTTTCTTTTTCAAGAACCTGAAACGGTATTTTATTTTTCTAAAAGGAATTAAATTTGTTTAAGGAAGAGCAAGCGAGAGATTATCAATCCATATCTTGGGCTTGACCTAATATCTTAACCTTTTTTGTTAAGGGATTCTTTATCAGGAAGCAATGAAGTAAGGGAACAAAGTTAAATTACAATCATGTTCATTTTCATGTTAAAGAGACAGCTGAAATTAAAAAAAAAACCCTCCTACCTGTATAAAATAAATAAATAAATCATTTACTTATTTCTTTATTTATGAAAGTGTTAAAAAAAATGTTTTAAACAAACGAATCATACAAAAATTTTATACAAATTGACATAGCAAATGATAATTGATGAGTCATAACTTATGGAAAACATTTTAAAAAATTAATCGTCAATTTGCAGAGTAATGCATTGTCCTGCTTTGGTGGCACGAACTTTCTACAAAACATTCACTTCATCAACTTCTTTGGCCCAAGAAATTATAACTTACTAATAAAAATTAAAGACTTAACAAGTAAACTGTGAGATGCAATTATTTGAAATACATAATCAGAAGTCCAAGCTCGCCGAGCTGCTTTCTCACGTGACAGAAAATTCCATATGTAAAGAACTTCAAATCCAAGTTTACCAGCTGTTCTTGCCATCATCAAAGGAAAAGGATCACAGTACAAAGTATTTTGAGGTCTCTTCATCGAGGCGACAATTGCACATGTATAAAAAGATGTACAAAGACCTCTCCACAAGGAATTTCTATTCCCTTCGTATATAAGTTCTCTTGTTTGGGCTTCTACTTTACCCATACACAAAAGATTTCACCCAAAAAAAAAAAAAAAAATTTGCTGGGATTGGATTGCATCCTTCCCACTTATCTCTCTAACTATAATCCTATTGCCTTATTAATGAACAAATGATTATGAATGAAAAGAATGCAATGATTCAGTTCATGAAGACCATTGATCAGGAACTGTGAGAAAGTATGAAGTCATTGCTTTTCGGAATCTTTTCTTGTATTGTTTCGGAGAAACAATTGTTGGAGAAGCATTTTTCGGACCACCAAGTATTCCAGATGCCTTAACCCACGTCTCCAAATGCTTGTCCCATGTATACTGTCTCATGAAATCAATGATACCTAAAACCAGCTCCTTCCGCTCATTATCCACTCCAACGAGCAAAGAGTAGTCCATAACATCAACAGACTGGACAAGCATAGCGAAGTGTGAAAAACAATTATAACAATGATATCCATAGAATGCCTACAAATTTTATCATTTCCCTAGCTCAAGCAAGATAATGAATCAGAGAAAAAAAAAAAAAACACAATTCATTGATCCATGGGTTAGCAGGGTCCTCAGAACAAGAAAAGGAAAAGAGAAAAAAATATCTAAAAAATAACAAAACTGAAAAAAACATTTAGGTTTCAAGTGATGCCACGACTTCATTGATGAAACAGCTTTGTCAATTAAAACTCGAATTTCAAAGTAGTGAGACTTGGGAAACCTTCATGCTAGTATCTCAAAATATAACAGTGGTCTGCCTTCGAGAATATATCACAAGCATTTTATGGGAAATTTCTAGCTAGAAAAAGACAAGGTTGGAAGTGCTTATGATTATATATCACTCAAAGAAAAACAAAATCGTGTTTTGGTTTATTAAAATATTAACTGAAGACCCTGATCGCTTAGAATTGATCGTGTAATTATCAAAAGCAATAAAGAATGTTTCAATTACTGAACGGAGAGGGGAAGGTGACTGTTCGTGCAAACAAAAGTCTTGGTCTTTCTGGCTGCTACTTCTTTTAGATTTAAATTTTAGAACTAGAGGTTTTATGTTTATTGCAATAACTAAAAAAAGAAAAACACACCAAAAAATGGGTATAGAAGACCTAATGCTGAAACTCAAAAAGTTTTCATGTTTACAATGGTAAGATGCTAAACAAAAAGCTTACCGCTAAAAATGACGTATCATTCCATATAGCTCTCTCAAGGCTTCTCTTTGCCCTACTTCCAAGAAATATGGGTTCTGTACGCAGTGTTTCCACCAGATTTGTGTCTAGTAACACCTTGTTGGACCCAGATGTGTCTGGATTATAGCGGGAACGAGAAGAGCCCTTAAGATCGTAAACTCTCCCAATATTTCTGTTAAAAAAGAGGTTTTCCATCACCATTAAATCCATTTTTGTTTCCTTGCCACCTCTCAAGTGCTTCACAGTAACCTGCCACAAAACTCATCAGATAAGAATCACAAGAGATCATATGCATTCCACCCCTGCCCAGCATCGCCCACCCATGTATGTTGTATAATCTTATAAAAGCAAAGGACAAAGTCTAACCTGGTAAATACCAAGAATTTTTGCTAAGCAAGTTGGGCTCCCAGAGTTGAGAGAATCAGTCAGATACTTGAAATATTCTGGTGCGAATTCCTCGAAGGACTCCAACTCAGTCTTTTTTACTTGCTTTATGATGAATCTCTCATCCAATGACTTGGCAAAGTATACATTGGTTTTTCCGCCTTCCGCACTCCACTTCTGGCAGCGACTCAGTGAACGAACAAAATCTACATCACTAGGGCAACATTTCTTCCTAAGAGAGTCAAACTGTTTCGCAAAATAACAAACAACAGAAAACTTCACTTTGCCTCCAGCAAGTGAAGAATCATCCCCATAAGAAATTGTTAAATGTGGAGATTTTTTTGAATCCATAAACAAGGTGCCCAAGGACGATAAAGGCTCTTCAGACCCATAACTTCCATAGCTGATATAATCCAAGTCCGCAGAACCAAAAGACTGCCAGGCCGTAAAAGAGGAAGCAGCAGAGTCTTCTTTACTGCGCTCAATTGTACTCCAGATTCCTCCATTCTCATTTGACCTATCAGTAACCCAATCCTCATATTCCTTGGAACTGAGGGCATATGAAACTACACTTGCAGGATCATTATCATACACACCTATAACTATATCACTGTTGGTCCTCACTGGTAGCAGTAACCGAGCTCCTCCAGCCATATTAGCAGCAGAGGAGATAAATGAGTGCTTGGAACTGGGAACCAGATTTAACTTCTGTGCCTCCAATGGCAATGTCTGGGAATAAGTCCTCATCGCATTTGAAACAGGATCTCTCACCATACTCCTGTAATCTCCAGATGCATGGAACGATCTGATAGTCGATAAATGCAATGAAGAAGGAGGCAACCCTTTTTGGATTCTTTCTTGGACTCTCAATGCAGAATCAAAAGAATGAACTCTCACTGGTGCCATCATCCTTCTAAAAGGAGGATTATCAAACAAATTTGGCTGCCTGACAGGTCCAGGTTGGAATCCATCTGCCTCCGCCTGAGATGCATGTAGAGGCTGAACTTTAATTGGAAGTTGATCGGTACCCGTCCATGCAGAATCAATTCTGTCAGACAGATTGGATTCATGGGAAGGGATGTCATTACAGATTGTTGTATTCACAGTTTCCTCGTCTGCATGCACTTCATCTTCTGTGTTATGATGACGAGATGGCAACATTGAATGTTCAGGAACAAAATGTTCTAAGGACAGACTTGTTTCCTTCTTCTCTGACTGAAAATCATTCCCCACAAGCTCCTGTGATTTTGAATAGCCAGAGATATTTTCTTCATGATCATGGTCAAGCTTGCTATCCTTGCAAAACATATCATTTCTCAAATCTTTCAGCTTGGTATAAGACACATCCCCTTCTTTAGCCTTAAGAAGAGAGTTTGTCTTAAGGAGACTGTCCAGTGAAAAAAGCTTCCGATCCCAAACATGCGAACCAATTAGAAGAGCACGTCGTAAGCGATTGAGTTCTAAAATGTCAACGGCAGTCTGATCCGACTGTAAACTCTCCATAACAGCCACTTGTAGTATGACCTGTTTGCAAGGGGACTCATTAGAAGATTGAACACTTGAATTTGTAAGCATTATGTATAAGGATAAACAGATTGACAACAACATTTGCCGATAAACCTCTGATAATGATGCTGCAAAGCTCTAAAGAACTAACAATAATTTTCCAAGGGAAAGATGGAAGATCGAAGAACCAAGCATGTACTTACTTTGTAATCATCCTTTTCCTTTATGAGTAGATCTTTCAGCTCCATGATGTAATTCTGTAACTCATTTGTATTTGACAATTCACTTCCGAAATATTTACTTCTCCATTCCATGCCGTCAAGCACACCAGATATCTCACCGTAGAAGGTTTCCATTTTGCCCAAGAGCTGTGTAAGT